TTTGGCATTTGGTACAAATATGGAGAAGGAAAGCTGGAAGTGTTCACAGATAGCGACTTTGCAGGGGACAGCAACAATAGCAAGAGCACTTCTGGTTATGTGTTCTTATGGGACAATGGGGCAATAGCGTGGTCATCGAAGAAGCAAGACATTGTTACTCTCTCGACCACCGAAGCGGAGTATGTTGCAGTTGCAACATGTGCTTGTCAAGTCATTTGGGTCAGAGGAGTACTTGAAGAACTGGGGCTGAAGAATAGCAAGAGTACAATTATAAATTGTGACAACACCTCCACCATTAAGCTATCAAAAAATCCGGTGTTTCATGGAAGGTGCAAGCACATAAGAGTCCGTTTCCACTTCTTGCGTGATTTAGTTAAGGATGAAGTTGTTCAATTGGAACACTGTGGAACAYGAGAGCAAGTTGCGGACATTCTCACCAMGCCTCTGAGTCGTGAAGTTTTTGAGAAGTTAAGAAAAAAGCTTGGAGTATGTTCAATCAGGAGTAAGCTAGCTGAAGAACCTCAGTCTAGTTTAAGGGAGGGTGTGAAGAAGTAAAAGTCCACGTGCAGTCCTTTTACTTGGTCTTTTCTGTTTTRTGAATAATCCTATTCTTTAGGAGCTTAGAAGTTTTTTTTTTTCTGTTTTTTAGCTTGTTTTAGTTGTAGCTTTGGCTATTTAAAGACCCTCTTTGCAGCAATAAAGAATCATCGAATTTGGTTTCTGTTTCTTGATTTTTTTTCTTCTAACACATATTATAAGGGTRTTCAAAAAACCGTTGGACTTCTAAAACCGGTCGAACCAAGTCAAACCGGACCGTTTTTGGCGGTTTRAGTGATCTGGCAGTCGGTCAGGTCTGAAAAATAGCCAAACCGCTCGGTCCGGTCTGCGGTTTGAACTTTTTTTAAGCAGTGTGGACCGAACCTACGGCCAAAAGATACAAATATATTAATTATATTCARTTTTCATGATATAGGCTCAACTTTATCGCCCAATTAAAAAAAGTTCATCGAAGACATTACGTTTTAGTTTCCACTTCGCAATTGATCGCGTCATCTAAATTGGCAAAATTACGAATTCCGTCAAAAATCAAATCCAAAATTCCAAATCGTCATTCGACTTGCTCAATATTTGTCCAAAATTCCAGCTATTGTTAGTGGACTTGTTTAACCTTTTTCAACYTGCTCAATGTTTTTCAGTGATAGAGATAGATGTATCTTTAATAATTTGGAGACCTATTTTTTTAATAATGTTATATTGGTAGAAATTTCATTTTAAATATCAATGTTATGTTTTTTTGAGTTTAAAGCCCATAAGAGGCCCAATCCGCCTAAAACGGTCAGACCAGACCGCCTTTTGTGGTCCAGTTTGATCAGTTTGGTCACTGCCAAASCGCTCAGTCTAGAAAATTTCCTAATCCGCCATTGCGGTTTGGTTTGTGGTTTGGGGGATTAAACTGCCCAAACCGGACCACGAGCACATCATAATTGCACTACCATATATCAGCAAAGATTTGGCGAGTAACAATAGTTTCATAGTGCACCTGTTTAATGATCGAAGCATCCTTTGATCCAGAGCCGAAAACTTGCATGAGTTTTACTGATGAAGGAGGTGCGGTAGATCCCAGCACAGTGGTCACCTTGACCTGTAAGCAAAACCCAGGATAAGTGACAATCTAGAACCTTAATCCCAAAATGAACAAGTTCCTTTACAAAATTTTGTAATTGAGGGTCAAAAAGAATGACCGCAAGAAAGAGTTGGATGCTGAAATTAATCAACACTTATAATGGTGTTTAATTGTGCTTGTAATAATATGCTGATGTTAAGAAGCAAGTAAGAGAAAAGTTATCCCTAAACCCTCATTGTGATGATGTTGAATCACAATTCACAAGCCATCCATCATTATAGCAGGTTGCAACACAACATTTTACGTCAAAATCCATTTAAGATTGCTTCATGCTTTCATACTAGTAATCTTTACAAGTTAAGATGCTTATCATCACACTTCACTACAACAAAATTGGCTTTATAGGACGCCTAGAACGTCCAAGCGTCCTAATTAATACTKTATCGAACTTAAGTTTACAGGACCAAACTAWTATGCGTCCTAYCTAAAAGCRTTACAATAGGTTTATAGGACRCTTTTGGGAGTTTTAACAAGTTTTTTTAGRASGCTTTTAAAATAAAGGGTCCTATTAGCTACTTTATAGGACACTTTTGATAAGTGTCGTATAAACCCATCTTTTTATAGGACAATTGTGTTTATAGGACACTTTTTCAAATAGTGTCGTATAAAATAGCTAATACGACACTTTATTTTAAAAGCATCCTAAAAAACTTGTTAAAATGCCTAAAAGCATCATATAACCTATTGTAACGCTTTCAGATAAGACGCTTTTTGGTTTGGTCCTATAAACGTAAAGTCCTATAAAGTAATTGATTAAGACGCTTAGACATTTTAGGCGTCCTAAAAAACCTCTTTTTTTGTAGTGCTTCTTACAGTWTAATAGCAGTAATCTTGACGTAAAAATATGAAACACAATCAAATAGGTCCAACCAAATGAGCACACCTTAAGTTTCTCTTGGCTGGTAACCGAAAGGACCCTGGCTGGAAGTGACAAAATGAGAGGAACCGATACCCTGCACCATAAAATTCTACCTGTCTTGTTATAAACAGTAGGTGAACAAGATTCCATACACAATGCCTCTCACTTTTTTCACATCCCGTAAACAAAAATGTCAATGAACTCAAATATTAATGGGGGCAACATCCAAAKATCACAAAATCACTTGCCTGTTGTTATCTAAGCAAGCTAAAGCATCAATTTGGTAATACAAATCCTTTCCAYTGCCAGGGATTCCAATGCCAAGAAAAAATCTTGCCAATCCCAATATCTTGTCCCCTGGTATCTGAAAAACATCAAACAAACATTAAAAACGAAGGGTAAAAATAATCATTCGGGAAACAAAGGTGGCATGTAGCAGCATAACAAGACTGTGTCGCACATTAAGACTTCCGGAAGTGGAAGCAAAAGTTGTCAGTCCACGAACAACTGATGAGGTAGCTGAAAGAGGRCCTTGATGTCCACTTGCACCAAGAAGTTGGTCAACGAAGTAGTAGGCCCCATCATCTGCAAAGTTGTAGAAAAAATAGGAGTCATCTATACAATAATTAGCCRGTACAATCATACTTCAAGGAAAAATTATACCTTTTAATCATCTATTATGATGAGGGAGTTTCAAATACAAACCCTACAACACAATTTTAACCGTCCATCTAGCCTAATGAATATTTGGTTGTTTCCTAATCTAAATTAATTATCATAATACATGAACTCTATCATCTTCCATAAATATYTCKAYCATAATGAATGAACCCTGATCATCTTCCATAAATATCTCAATTGTTTYCTAATATAAGGTTTGTATGGTTTGTAACATTTACATAGTTAGTATTTGAAACTCCCTCCWATTATGATATATCAAGTGCTAAGAGATTAAACAAGGTTTTTCCTAATTTGGATAGATACATAGAAGATTGTAGAATATGGAAATCAGAGTATAAAGATAGGAATAATTGTCATTTAAATGAGGTGGTGGAAGAAACAGGAGTACAGCAGGCATGGCTACAAAAGGTGCCATAGTATAGAACAATTTCAATCTAACGATCAATATCCAAGTTTCTTGAAAGGGCTGAAAAGTGAAGACAATTCTCATGTACTAACCATATTTATCAATATTGTGGAGTAGCTTCATGACATCATTTTTCAGGGTATCAATCTGCCAGAAGTACACGATAATTAAGCCAAAATAAGAGCCGGTATGCATTAAGTTAAAAACATGAAATTTAATTACCAGATTTCCATCAATTTCAGAAGACGTCAAAGTAATAATCCCAGAAAGTGTCTCAAGTGCTACTCCTGAGTCAAATAAGCATATTACGTCAGTATCATATCAAATAAAAACGACCCTCCAAAGACTAACAGCAAGTGCAGTATCATATCAAATAAAACGACCCTCCAAAGACTAACGGCAAGTGCAAAAGACTCTTGACAGCCTGACAATAATAAAAGGTAACATACATCTCATTTGATAAAATYAAGGATCAGAACAACTGTGAGGGCCTGTTCGTTAGCAGCTTATTGAGCTTAATAGGACTCACAGCTTATCCGACCAGCTCTTTCATGACTGTTWGGTAGTGGTTTAATGATATAGAAAATGGCTTATTCAGTAAGCTTCTAGGGAGGAGCTTTATGCAGAAAGTCAAGTTTTTTCTAAGCTTGTCATTCCCAATTAAAAAACACGCCCATTCCATCTAAGAAAAAACCCTCCCAAACGAAAATCTTTCCAATCTATACAGATAGATTAATCGACACAGACAGATTTATCCATACATGACTTGATGGAAAACCAACCAAACAGCCCTTAAGATAGTAGTMTCGCCAGGTGAAAAAAGCTTACCTGCAGCAAAAGTACTTGATTCGGGATCGTTAGAACTATAACGCCACCTTCCATCACTTTGGCCGAGAGCCTAACAAGAACATGCAATGTCGACTCAGTCTCCAGACATTTACTTGAAAAAAAGTAACAGGCAAATTCGGGATATGTTAAAAGGAGGGAATGCTCTAAAAATTTCTAGAACACATAAATAGGTAACAAACCTTTACAGATCGAAAAATTCCATCAGCATCCGCAAGAAGTACGTCAACTTCAGAAGTTTGATCCTGCATGATTAATAAAAARAAATCATGTGAAGTAAAAAGTGACAGCGGATTAGCAGAGTGATCTGTAACTACAAGGGTAGCTTAATAGAGGAATTTCCTGGGAWTGTTACAGATGATTGGCATCAATATATGTAACATCCTCGACCAACCATACTAGATATTGTCCGCTTTACCCACCTGGACTCACGGTTTTAAAATGCGTTTATAAGGCAACCTTTGTTCCCCTCCTCAACCRATGTGGGATCTCACAATCCACCCCCCCAGGGAGCCCAACATCCTGGCGGGCACACCAATTCGGTTTCCGGCCCTGATACAATTTGTAACATCCCCGACCAACCATACCAGATATTGTCCGCTTTACCCACCTAGACTCACGGTTTTAAAACGCGTTTATATGGCAACCTTTGTTCCCGTCCTCAACCGATGTGGGACCTCACAATCCATCCYCCCTAGGGAGCCCAACGTCCTRGCTGGCACACCAATTTGGTTTATGGCCCTYTATACAATTTGTAACATCCCCGGCCGACCATAGCAGRTATTGTCCGTTTTATCCACACCTGGACTCACGGTTTTAAAAACGCGTCTAATAGAGGAGATATYMGGTCCCTTATAAGGCAACCATTGTTCCCTCCCCAACCGATGTGGGATCTCACAATATATCAAAAGAAACTTTGTACTAATTAATAATTACTAGTAAACATGAAAAGATGGTCGATAACTRATGCAAAACTAAGAAAGAAGTTATTGAATTTGTTCCAAAGACTACGTACCTTGATTAGTATCAAACCTCCTATTGAATAATAAAAATCTAGAAGCAACTTTGCATCTTTGACGGAGTCTTTAAGCCTTGATGCAACACCCTAAAGATGTAAAAGTTAGATTCCTAACATTTACAATTGAAATTGTGTAATACACATGGATGTAAAATTAGGTGTACCGTTAAATCTCCTTTWCTAATCTTGCATTTTAATAGCGAACTAACTCGTAATGCATGATAAAGATCCGTCGAGTTCGATGACCCCGAAGAAAGAGTATCCACCACAGATTTACAAGTGGAATCCTTTAGATCAGGCTCTGTTTCGATTCCAAGGACCTCAAATGTCCTTAAAGCTTCGAATGCGTCTTCTAAGCTGAAGCAAAGAAAACCTAATCAGATGTCTAGGTGATATATCAACAATTCAGTTTCCATTATATATGCATCAGTATTTATTTGACAGATGATATAGAAAACGCTCTGAAAAAACAWATGAGGTACATGTGTCCGTTATATAAGCTTTGATATATGACTTCTTTAAGCAGTCGGATACTTGCACACCCCTTGAACGTCTATATCAGGGGTAGRGGATAACTCCAGCTTCCACATTCAAATGGCATCACACGCTCACTCTCCTGATAACTTCATCCATGATCAAATTCGTACGATAGCAATTTCAAATGCCTCAATCATATTATTCGGTTTAGATTTCACTGATTTCGCTTGTAGTTTATCGGTTTTTGCAGACAATGGCAAGAAAATTAGGATTTGCTTTCTTGCTACTTGACTAGATGACATAGAACACGCTCTAAAGACCAAATGAGGTGTATTRTTTGTTTGTTCATCAACCAGCTAAGTATTCCTCAAAATTCGTTACATAACGGAGMAACAATGAAGGCAAAAATAACTAAAAACAAATTTATACATAACGTTTGCTCAATTTCTTCACTTCTTCACTTCAAAGAGACGAATTGCATAGTTGCATTATTATTTCTCCTTTCTTCAGCCGAAAGATGGTCTTGAATGCATATACAGATAACAAATCTACATAGTGATTTTACAGCCACTATAGTTCAATCAATAATTAAGTTAACACTACACAACCACATAATCGCATCAAATGAGCATTAGTGTGGGTCTAAGGATGCTAAAAAAAACCTACCAACCTGGCCAACCCAATCCGAAAAAACCCAAAAAACTAAATCCGAGGTAACCCRACAAATAGTTAATACAAAATTAGGCCAAAACGCATCTATTGGGTTGGAATTGGGTTAGGGTACTTTGAACCCAACCCAAAGTCTGTTACACTATGGATTTAATACGATTGTTAAGTCCTTGAATAATACATATACATTAGACATTAGGCATTAGGCATTAGACCAACCGGTAATTAGCTATATTCAAAATTATATTATAATTTCAACGTACTTTTATTTTCTTATTCGTATGAACCTTCAKCTCTTTTTTTTAGTTTGCTAGCCTTTTTATTATGTTCTCATTTTGATTTTACTTCATTTGAAGTGTAATCACAATCGCTTTAGCTAGATTGTACAATAATGTCCCAGAATTTCAATTCGACCAAGCCAACCCATATGCAGCCCTAGGTGTGACCGAAATTTTCACCAGAAAATTCCTAAACCAATTAAGTACAGACATATGAACCAATAAAAGATACGGAGGTTTCATAAGGGTTTAGGTGTACCTCGAAAACTCCCCTGCGGCAGGGGAAAACAGTTCCAATGCCGCAGACCGGTGAGCTTCAGAGATCGGGTTAAATATCACGGCAGCYTCACAGATCGACGCTGCTGCTAGTAGTAAGAAAGCAAATCCTAATTTCCTCGCCATTGCCTGCAAAAAAAAAAARARAAATTAGAAACGAAATCAGTGAAATCTGAAAGGAAGAATATGATTGAGGCATTTGAAATTGCGATCGTACGAATTTGATCGCCGGTGAAGTAATCGGGAGAGTGTGAGCATGCGAACCCCAGTTGAACGTGGAAACTGGAGTCTTCCCCTACCCCTCTTATGGGTTTTAAGTTTTAACACAGAAGACCGAGTAATTTTCCATTTTGCCCCTGCCTGGGGACCAAGTTGACCTCACGTAGAAAGGGAAATTTCGATCTTATATGTTCGTTTAGTTACATTTATTAGGTTGTGTTTGATACATGGATAAGATAAGATAGGACGGGATAAAATTCACGTTTTCATGTTTTGTRTGATATAGGACAAAATAATAACTTATGGTTTCACGTTTTATGCAATATAGGAATCAAATGAAAGTTGGTTTTATTTTGAAACAATTTTTTTTTATTTAAAATAAACATACACTTCCAAAGAATGTTTAAGTGGTCAAAATGATTAAGAGGTTCTCATGATATAATGCAAAATGAAATATAATTGTTTGATAACTATTTACAATGAGATTAGGACGCCGAATGGTTAAGAGAGATCCATGATACAAAATCATTCAGAGGGTTTTAAAACATTAAAAAAACAGACATTTTCTTTAACCAAATAAGATTCATCTTTTAACGATTCAGATATTGTCTCTTAATAAAACTATTCAGAGGTAAACAACCCCTAAAAGTATGCCCAATGTTGCTGCCTTTCGAAAATAGAAAATAGGTATGTATTTCTATTTTTGTCCAATATATTATTCTTGCAATACTTTTCAAAATAAATGTCTACGTTACTATTTCAGTTTGCCTCAAAATAAGTATCAACTTTCAAAAGTAAATGTCCAATTTTCTATTATACCTATAATTATGAGACGAAGAGCAATTATCTCTCTATAATCAAGARTAAAAATTATCATTTTATCARTTAAAAAATGTAATGATTACAAATTTCTAAAACTAAGTCATCGTRAACATTTATATTGCAATGGAGGGAGTATACAAAGCAAAATTACAGATGTTTTTTACAAAATAATTATTGGTCTGTTGTTAGTTTATGGAATTTCATATGTAAGATCCTCAAAATATTTTAGAAACATAATAAATTTGAAATTAAAAACAAAAAAAAATACAAATTATACCAAGAGATGCTCAAGAAAGATATGATTACACCCAACAAGATAAAATGAAGACATATTTGACGACCCTATCGATACCACCGAATGCAACATAGTGGGTCCGCCCCTGCCGACGCCATAAAATCGTATTATCACGTCACTCGTCAATTATCGTTGATAACAATCACATCTCATTTTCCCGTAATGCACTGTACTTTTGGAATAGAAATGACATTCGTTGACGGTGTACGATTTAGGTTTGAAAATGGTAACATAAATCATTAACGGTGTTTGGTGTTACACAACGCAATCAATCATATATTGCTCGTGATACATATTTCTACTCGAGTTCCCATTTTCCGAAACGAACCAAACACCTTACTGAAAACAGGTCACTGTAATTGAACGTCACAGGTTCAAACCCAGATGACGCCAACCATACTTCTTTCTGATCAGTGCCAGAATTTACAAGATACGAACTTATTGGCCATTTACTAAACACTTACCTGATGTCACTTACCTTACTGGATGACATGGCAAGAACTGAGATTCTTATCCGGTAAGAGGCATAGCATAGAATAAAAATCTTACTTGGTAGGCAGAAGATTTTTATCTAGCAAGCACTCACCGGGTAGAAGACATTACCAACAATCCATTTTGATGGCCGAGAATGTTATCCGATAAGGTAAGTGAACATCGACCCCTGTGTGAGGACCCAATATACTTTGGTCCATTCACTTACCACATTCTACAAAACACGAGAATATAAACGCCATTTCAACGTACTTTTTTAACCGCCGAAAATTTAAAAACTCCATGTCCAACAAGCAGCATATTTCACAGCAATAAGTGCAACAATGGAGTCTTTAAAATGAAACCAAGTTGATCACTTGGGGTTTTCTTGGCAAAACCTAACCATAAATTTCCACACCATAAATTTCCAGCATTCTCTTATAAAACTACACTCTAACAGTAGCATTTTTACCATTTTCTAGATTCCGACCATGTGAATGAAAACAATCGGGTACAACTTAAAGTGGGGTTGCAGCAACTAAACTTACATGACCATAGTTTCTAAAAGTAGAGCCATCAGAAAGTTGCTCAATACTTCTTGGCTGGTTTTTGCGTTGGCAGCAATCCGAATCGCTTCTTCAACAGAACTCGTTGCCGTGAGAACTTGTCATCTGGTGAAAAACGAGCTGCAAATGAAGAATAAGTTACACCACGTGAACTCGTTATAATCTCAACCGAAGCTCTTACACTTGAAGGAATGATATATGTCAATGGAATTGGAATGGAATTTGATCATGTTTGAACAACACGTAATTTAGGAATTGGAATGGAATCTTTCAAAAGAATTGTAATCTATCTTTTTGGTTCACAGAATATAGCTTCAAAATTGGAATGAAATAATGATAAATAACCAAAATACCCTTTTATAACCCATCTCCATGAATGACAAGTTAAAAGACGGATGGCACAAAAAACTATATTTTGTTTGTAAGACGAAGAAATATAGTGGATTGTATTACACGAGTAACGTACCAGGATGAGCAGATTGTGTGGCCAACCCAAGTGGTGATTCTTTCTGCAAATCGACAAAGACCACACGTAAACCAATTGATTCCAGATAATTTACATGATCGACTGACAAACTCCAAAACAAACATTTGATCAAGTATATATCAATTGTAGTAGGTGTATTTAGGGCCCGTCTGGTCTGCGGGATTTTGTGGGATTTAGTGGAATTTGGAATTCGATTCCATTCCAATCCCGCATTTGGAATGTAAGTAGCTATTGTAGAGTGAATACACATTCCATATCTTGAAACCTATGATATGCAAGCAAGTCTTGGGTACTATAAACGTCTTCCATATTCTAGATATACAACCAAGGGTACCCACTAGAGATTTTTTTTATAGCCGTGGGTGTCCGAACCAACTTGGACATACCTAGACTAATCCCATGGGGGCCATGAAGTTAACCGCCATGTAAACCTCCATTGGCATGAGAAAACTCGAACTGGTAACCACTAGAGAACAAACTCAGGGGATGTTTGGTTGGTTTTCCATTAAATCATGTATGGATTAATCTGTCTGTACAGATTGTAAAGGTTTTTGTTTGGGAGTGTTTTTCATAAATGGAAGGATCGTGTGTTTTAAATGGGAGGGGCAATTTTGGAAAAAACTTGGCTTTCTGCAAAAAGGCAGAAAAACACCTTCCTACAGGCTTACTGAATAAGTCACTTTCTATATTATTAGACCAATATCAAACAATCATGTATATTGACCGAATAAATTGTGAGTGCCATTAAGCTCATTAAGCTGCTAACAAACAAGCCCTCGATATCTTAAGGTTTAAGCTACCCCAAGGGGTTACTATCAAAGACATTTATAAACGAAAGAATGCATACAATTAGTGATGTTTAATTACATGAATGCTTAAAAAGACGAACCTTGGTGGTGTAAACTTTGTCACCGTTTTCGTTTATGTAAAATTGGAGATACATTTCGGCTCTGAACAAACTGCTAAAACAAGCAATAAGGTTAATGGCATTGATAAGACTTCCAAACAACTGACAGTTAGTTTATGTGGGCTGATGTCTTCTCGTCACAATTTGCAGGGATTAGTCTAGACGTAATACCAAAACCCTTCAGAATACATATCAATTTTAAAGTCGAAATGCACCACTCCGCATCCCAATCAATCTGTAGCTCTTTATATTGAACAAAGCTACAAAGGGAAATTTAAACATAACGATGAAAAGGAGACTAAACGATGGTCTTCATCCTTTACCAAATTGATAACACACTGCTGTTAATTCAGCAACTAACGAATTGATGAAAACCTAACGCACGATCAATGCGATATAGAATAAGTTAACAAAAATTTATTAAGGTTTTATACGCGTTCAAATAATTAAAGCATTTAAGCTTCGATTGAGAGGTAGAAATCAAACACACACATATGATGCAGGCAACCAATAAGCACGAAAATCGAGCAAACAAATACCTTGGATAACACTGGCCGGAGAAGAACGGTGACCGCCGGAAAAAATGGCTTCTGGCTGCAACGGGATAATGCTAGGGTTTCTCTCTGGAATTTTAGGGTTTATAGATTTATAGTCTGTAGATATTTGAAGACTGTGACCCTATACTTTGGCTTTATTCAACTTTTTATTCCTCGTTTCTTTGATTATTACAAACTAACCCCCAAAGTTTGTTGTACAAAACAAAATTTTTTTCCCTCTCAATTTAGGGATGGCAACAGAAAAACCGAAACYAGTGGTGAAATTTGAAAACCGAAATTTTCAAAGCCGAGTATGTGGACTTCTTATCGTAGACAGGGCGAGGATCGGGGACGTATTCAGAGCTTTATCGAGGATGGTAATTGTAACATCCCAATTCTAATTTCCCATATTATTTGCTAAGTGCGCCTAATTTACATTTTACGAA